GCACCTCTTATACTTTCCTGGATTAAACTTAAGCCCATTATCCAAAGTGGGGCACCACAAGAGCAGAAGAACGGGATCCATTTGTACTCACCATCGAATTGGTATTAACTAATCAACACACAAATGCACATATAAGAGTAACATCTATTGGATGTTGGGCAGGGGGGAGGGGGGAGGAGCGAGGAGCGTACGGGTATTTGCATACACAAAGAGTGCAATGCGCACCACCCGGAGGAAGGACATATTTGAAACTCGGACTTAGGGGGGGAGGGGGGCAGGGGGGGCAAGGGCAACATACGTAACCTAAACATCTGTACCCCCATAATATGCTGAAATAAAAAAAGAAAAAAGACTAAAGCTTTGCACATATCCTTAAAGTTTTTTCGTAGGATAAATTTCCATAAGTATTATAGAAATGATGGGTCAAACAGAATTTCTTAAGGCATCTGATACAAAATATCAACTGTCTTCCAGAGAGATACCATCTGACAGCTTCATCACTTAGTATATGAGAACACCCAATTTCACATCTCTGTCAACATTGTTTTGAATCTTTGCCAATATTATGGAAAAAATTCTACCTTCTTGTTTTAAGTCAATTTCATTTTTTGTCAAGATAATTCATGCTCAGGAATTAGCGAGTCAGGTAGTATCAAGCAATATATGACACCTACAGTTGAAACTGGCTTCATGAACAAATTTCAATAACCCCTGTATGATTTTTATAATTCTCTCCCTTAACTAACTGCTTGACCTTTTGAGTTGTTTCCCGGAAATGATGGATTTTCTGTGAGATGAAGGAGTTGAGATTCTGAAGGCCCCAGAGCAAACTTCTTGACACCAGGACTCAGCATTCACCACCACCTGCCCCAAGGCACGTGGCCCCTCCTTAAAAAGCCCGTGATCTCCAATAGTCAGAGAGACAGATTTGAGGCAACCTTTCCTGTTCTTCTGACAGACTTTTGTCATATTAAAAAAATTCCTTTCTTCCTTGGCAATCCTTGTTGTCTCAATAATTGGGTCTTTGTGCAATGAGCAAATGGACCTAGACTGAATCCCCTTGCAGATTTTTTTTTTTCTGACACAGGGTCTCACTCTGTCACCCCAGTTAGAATGCAGTGGCATCATCATAGCTCACTGCAACCTTAAATTCCTGGGCTCAAGGGATTCTCCTGCCTCAGCCTCCTGAGTAGCTGGGAATACAGACATATACCACTATACCTGGCTACTTTTTCTATATTTTTGTAGAGATGGGATCTATATTTTTGTAGAGACGGGGATCTCACTCTGGCTCAGGCTTGTCTCAAGCTCCTGACCTCAGGCAATCCTCTTGCCTCAGGCTCTCTAAGTGCTAGGATTACAGGTATGGGCCACTGCACCTGGCCTTCCCTTGCAGTTCTTTTTTTTTTTTTTTTTTTTTTTAAAGATTTTATATTTTCTTTTTTTACCTATTCCTTCACCCAAGGAATCCCTTGCAGTTTTGGCAACACAACAACAACAACAACAACAAAAACAACAAAGTCTTCTGTTAGCCTCACTGGAGTTAATGACTTTCAACATTTTAGATGTTTCTTTTTATTTACTGTCATATTTCTACTATTCTATGTGTATGGCTACTGCTTGATTCATGATTTTTAAAAAGATTATGGCTTTCTATTTGATAAGTGTGAATTTTTGCTCTTTTTTTTCCTTCCTCTTCCAATATGCCAGATTGTCACTATTTTTGATGAAATCTACATTTACTGTTTTCATGATTATGTAAATATTGTTCTTTGCTTAGTCAAGTAGTGTACAATGACTACATTTACTTTCCCAATTGATTTATTGTTTTCCTGGAATTAATATTTATAATTGCCTCATCTGATTATTTGCAGAGTTTTCTTTGGAAAACTTTCTTCTCACAATTTCCAATAGTTCTGTTAAGTGCCTTAAATTTTTTTTTTTTATAAAATTAAACCCATCATATAAATTATCAGTTCCAATATATTGTCTCTGTCTCTTGCTCTAATCTGACTTGGTTGCTTTTAAGGTCTGCCACATAGCTCTCTTCCTGGGATTTCTGTTTGCCAGCATCATAGCTCTGATATACCAAGAGGAACACAGAGGGACAAAGAGTGCAGGCTCTGCAGCCGGAGTGCCTGAATTCAATCCTGGCTCCACCACTTACCTGCTGGGTGCCTTAGATAAGTCACTTTCTGGTTTCACTCAGATAATGGACGTAATAATAGATAAAAATAGGGTTGTGGTAAGGACTTATGACCTAGAGTATGCAAAACACTCGAGACAGTGTCTGGCATCTAGCTCAGTTCAACGTTTTATTTTTCTTTCAACAAATATTTATTGAATGCCTACTATATGTCAATCTCTGTTCTCAGCACTAGGAACACAACGGAGATAAAATAGACAAAATTTTCTGCTCTTATGGATTTAGGGAGATAGATAACATCTAAATGAGTATAAGTTAAATACATATAAAATTGTGGTGTGAATATGGAAAGACCATGTAATTGTGTACAATGGGCATCTCTTTCCAACTCCGCATTCAGTGGCTTCACTATGGTAGATGAACTTCAACGTAGTGGGAGTATTTACTTCATGGACATTGGCAAACACTACATATTTGGGCTTGATTCATTGTTCTGTCGATTACTGAAGTTGAGAAAGTGATGGAGAAAATGATAATAATGTCGATTAAAGTTAAAAGTGTGTGTTTTCTGTTGTCATTGCATTATGAATAGTATAAAAAATTGAGAAGACATTTTTCCAATATTTGACAACTATTACCCAACTCAGCAAAGTTCTGACACATATCTTTATTGTTTCATGTTTGCTTACTTGTTAACATAAGTGAAAATATCAACATTTAGGTTGGACCCATACTCATTTGTTAATTGCAACCATAATTGGCTACAGATAAAAGAATCTGGCAAAAATCAACAATTGGTTGTATGAAATTTTCAATAAAGAATATTGTTTATTTGATTATGATTTTTATATTATATGCTATACATCCTTTATATAAAAATTTATTACATATATGTGTATATCACCACACACACACACACACACACACACACACACACACACACACACACACACACCCTCTTCTCCCACCCCCAGCATTTCTTGGAGAACTGATTGTTAAACATTTACCAGCATACCACTGCTGGTACCTAAAAACTTCCTGCGTTCTATTGGCCAATTGTGAGTACTTATCTCTATATTTTTCTCTTTTTCTACGACCCTCTTCTTCTCTGTCATTCTTCCA